TGTAGGGAACTCAGGAGGTTTCAGGTCCCCTGTATATTTTACTAGGGTTAGGAGTAGAGTAATTATTAGCGATGGAGTGGTTAGCTCTGGAAACTGAAGAACTGATACCCTCTTTAAAAATAAACATAGCCCCTCCCCGCCCCAGTTATGCTCTCTCCACGGTCTTCACAAGTAAACATCTTGATTGTCTGCGTCCATTGCCTTTTCTTCTTTCCATCTTATTTACGTTGGTGTATCTCCCACCGATGTTTAACTGAATATTGAATACATGAATGACCTTTCAATTAAAGCAGAGGAGGAAAAATAATCTTATTAAAAGAAGTATTTACCTTTGGGTCAGGGGGGAAAAGGGAGACATGCGAGTCAAATTCAGAAGCGGCGTTTTGAGAGTTTGAGTGACACGCGGAGTGTGGCCTGGTGCACGTGAGTCTGTCAGCACTTGTGAAATAGGCCACGTCCTCTTTCAGGTGCTGTCCGCTGCCTCGGCTGCAGGTGTTTCTGTAGCTTTTGGTGCACGGATCAGAGTTCTTTTTAGCCTGGAGGAGGTAAATTAAACCAGCAATTAAAATTCTGTGTAGTACTGTTACAGACGTCCTGTGGCACACTTTCCAGTGTTACAGCTCGTGTCATAGACACAGACTTTGTTTTTAAGTTTTCAGATTTGTTTTCTTAGTTATTTTTCACTCATTCTTACATAAAAAGTAATATATATGTTCTTTACTTGAGAGAAGTTTTTTAAACTATTATTGATATATAAGTGTCAGTATTTATTTAAAGTTTACCATTGTTGACATAATTAAAAGTAGGCAGAAGTGAATTTGACTTAATGGAAAATATTTAAAACAATCCTTATTGGCTAACTTACAGGATTGTTTTTATTTTAAAATTTTTAATCGGTTTCTAAGTCATCTTTTAAAGTTTTTCTTGTGTGATTATTTCTGTTGCAGTTACTGATTTTAAGAAAATAATTTTAGTCACTTGTGTGGAATATCTTTTGTTTTCTAATTGGTGCTTAAGACTTTTTACACCTTTGTACAAAAATGTGACTAAGGAAAAAAAATGTGATTTAGGAATGGCTTAAAATATACTTTTCTCTCTGGGTTGTTTGTATTCCTTTTGCTTTAATAACGAAGAGGAAAATTAAATACTTCTTTATAAGCTAGCAGGAGTTAGTGATGGTACATTTATTTTTAACTGCCGTGATTGAATTGGGGGGTGGAACTCACTTTGAAAATAACACAGAGCTAGGTGTTTTAAATAATTATTAGACATTTATCATCAGTTGACATTGTGAATTTGTGTAATGATGTGATAGCCAGAATGGCTATAAAATAGTATTTTCCTTACCACGGTAACATCTAATATACATAAATTCTAGCTGCAGTAAAATTTAGAGCATTGATATTTACCATTCAAGTTTTAACATATCAGAAATATCTTATAAAATTACAGCACTGATTCTTCTTTTCCTATTGCCCTGTTTTAGATTAGCTGTTACTTCCCTCTTAAGACTTTATGGAGGTCATTTTTTGCTGCTTTGGTGGCGGCGTTTGTTTTAAGGTCCATCAGTCTGTGTGGTAACAGCTGCCAGGTCCTCTTTTACATGGAGCACCACACGCCACAGTACCTTTTTGAACTGTTTCCTTTTATCCTCCTCGGGGTGTTTGGAGGGCTGTGGGGAGCCTTTTCCATTCGGGCAAACGTTGCCTGGTGTCAGCGGCGCAAGTCTACCAGATTTGGGAAGTATCCTGTTCTGGAAGTCATTGTGGTCGCGGCCATCACTGCCGTGGTAGCCTTCCCCAAGCCATACACCCGGCTCAACACCAGTCAGCTCATCAAGGAGCTTTCCACGGACTGCAGGGCCCTGGAGTCCTCCTCTCTCTGTGACTACAGAAGCGACATGAACGCCAGTAAAATTGTTGATGACACTGCAGACCGGCCCGCTGGCCTCGGAGTGTATTCAGCTACACGGCAGTTAGGGTTAGCACTCGTATTTGAGATCATAATGACGGTGTTCACCTTTGGGGTCAAGGTGGTTGCTGGTGGGGGTGATATTCTAGTAATTGTGGAACAAACTGAAATGTTTATCTAAAGATGGTTGCTTCATACATGTAGACTGAAAAAGCTATCTGTTTGGTTTAATTTTAAATAATGAAAAAAGAGTTTTTGGATATATTGTTGAGTATGCTATCTTGCTGTGTAACCACTTACCCCAAACCTCTCCACTTAGGACATCGATGGCTCACCGCGCTCTTGGTGTTGTGTGGTTGTACAGGGAGGCCTCCCTGGGCACACTCTGCTTGTGGTCCCTCACGTGGCTGTCACCTGACAAGGCTGTGTCGGGCGCCTGGACCAAGCAGGGTCAGACACTAGGGAGACGGGGGACCATCTGGGCTCCTCCTGCACTGTCTCCCCCGCTCGCTGTCTCTGGTCTTCCTGGCACGGTGGCCTCGGGGTTGGTGGATTCCTCCCATGGCAGCTCAGGGCTCCAAGAGTGAGTGTCAGGAGAGGACTGTTCCCACTGCAGCCAGGGATGCCCCACAGCACACCTCTTGTCTGGGCCATCACAAAGGCCCGGGGGGGCAGGGGACGGATGCACACTCTGAACTTCCAGGGCGCAGACAGAGAGTTGGTGATCGTGTTTCCTGTTGCTGCCAGAGTCCCTCACCACGAGTCTCACACGTTTGTTTTAGATCCGGAGACCAGGCACCTGGGCTGGGTCTCACTGGGCTGGAGTCAGGGTGTCTGGAGGAGGTGCGGGAGAGGCCATCCTGCGTTTTCCAGCTTCCATGGGCCTGGGCTCGTGGCCCCTCCTTCATCTTCAGAGCCAGCAGTGGCTCATCAAGTCTTTGTTTAATCTCCACGTTCTGACACTAGTCCTAAATCCTTCCACGTGTAAGGCATCTATGATGACTTTGGGCCCACCCACGTCACCCGGGATGGTCTCCTGTTTAAGGTCAGCTGCTGATGCTGGGATTTCTCTGGGCTGTGCAAAACGGCAGACTCCTGGGGACTGGGGCGTGGCTGTCTGTGGAGCCCGTGCTCTGCCCGCGTGTCACTGTGGGGCGGCAGCCCAAGGGCCTTGTACACTCTGCTCTGTTCCGAGGCCCAGCTGTGCCCTGGGA